GCTTCTTACATGCAGCCAAAAGGTAGTCCTTTAAAAAGCCGGCATCGTAAGATAATTGAAATTTTTATAGGATTATACTGCAGACTGATTAGTTTTGCAAAACTACTTTCTTAATCTTTTCGAAACAAAAACGCATTTTGGAATTTCAGTTGACATTTCATGAGCTACCCCACCTACTGTAGTCACAGACGACGGCAACTACCATCTCCTTCACAATCCATCACATAAATCAAAAGCAAACAAATTAGCTGACATAGGCACGGAAAATGTTTGAGTGAGCATTTTGGCTTGTAGAGCAGACTTCATTGTATGCATTTGCGCCAATTGCCTGCATGACCGAACTAAGTGGCCGATAATCCTCTAAAGTGGCTAAATAAGTTTTTTTCTCGATATGTTTGCGTTTCTCCCGAACAACGCACATATATACTAAATAGTCACAAAAGTTTACAGTTACTGGTGAAGAAGCTTATTTCGCTTGATTTGCAAAGACTACTGTATCAACCCACCAAATCAACAGTGAACTACTTGACTGTTAAGGCTAGCCAAATCAGCATTTTCCATTGAAGGTTGCTTAGCATGGGTATCTTTCATTGCTACTGGAAGCATCTATGAAAGATGTCAGACTTCGCATTTTTAACGTCAAATTTTAAGATTCCGCGGCTTTACTGAAGACTAAAGCATTTTTCTGTATATTGCATATCTTACTGCGTCCAACAATTATTTCCACAAACATGCTAATAAACTCCATAGCACTGCGCTTTGTCTTGCAACATGTATGATCGAACAGTGGCTTACCACCAGGCTACACATTGGCGTGACCATTTTTTGTTGAGGGCGAAGTCTAAACATATTCTAGCACCATTTCTGGGACGTCACTGAGAGATAAACCAACGTGCATACTCCAAATTCTTTGGACACGTTGTCGGCTGCCACCAAGGCTGTCACAAAAAAATAAATAAAACGCAGCTGGCGAACGCAATTTGCCATTTCTGAGGTCGCATAGGTGCTGGATTAGGTTTTGTCGAGTAAATAATTGGTAATATATCTGTTTTCTAGACGCAGTCAGTGGTACCTGCATCTCTAAGTCAATTGACGACTTTTCGATATTAATATGTGCAGACCTTTATAAAGCGCGGTTTTGCCGTCTATTAGACGTGATATTCCTTGGAATGCCAACCAATACCCTTTATAAACAAACTTCGCAACATCCCTATACAATTCACAAACCAAATCATCCATATTTCCTCCAAATCAACTTCTGAAATTGGCTTAGGAGAAGTTTTTTTTATCAAAACATTTGTGTTAGCCTCACTTAACCCAGTGAACTGGGTGACCTGCCATCAAGAGTGGTTGTAGAAATACTGCGCAACAATTTTGTTAAATCTTAAAAACTAAGCAATACAATTTTATGCCCGTGTTCAATCAAACCAGACCAGCAATTTAATATATCGGAACATCGAGAGATTTTCCAAAATCAACTTGGTATACGACGATCAACAGAGTTAAAGGACGGCTCCAATAAGAGTCTTGCGCAAAGCACACAAACTCCGTAGCTCCTCTGCAACAGCTAGGTACACGGGCAAATGAATAACTAGCGATGGCTTCACAGTTTAGACCATTTCTCGCAAATATCTTCATGGAAAAATTCGAGTAAACAAACATTATGAATACCACCAATGACCTTGATTTTAGCTGTCGGTGAGTGGACGATAGTATGTGCCTGATAAGTTGTATCACCGGCATCGATGAGCTAGTCCAAAAGTTTAACAAGGCATAAGCCTGACTTAAATTTGCCGCAGTGACTGAAGGGAATAGCATATTTACGTTCTTACATGCCCTTATACGCATGCTTATACGCAAGCTTAAGGTATTGTGAAAGAAAAACCAGAGGAGACTTTGGGTAAAGTTTCTCAATTTGACTTACTTAAGTCTGAAAAAAATCTTAGTATACAAAGTTTGACAGCCAGAATACGATGCATCTACTCCCCTTAAAATGCTGAAGCACAGCTCATGTAGAAAATATTAATTAGGCGGATTGTAAAACCAATCACCCTGCAGCATGATTCTAAAATAAACCACTTACCGCAGGATACCGCCTTTTAATGACTTTCGATACTTTCAAAGATCCAATTATATTTCTTGATAAATGTGCCTACAAATAGTAATTATTTTGCTCATGCGGTAGGAAATCAAAGTTTCTTTCGATTCCATTTCGCAGAAAGTGTATAATTTGGTTTTAAAATCTTCTTTCAGTGAGTATTTCTAAGGCCGTGAATGGGCCGTTCATAAAACGTCCTGTCTCTGCATTTAAGAATGTGTCTTAGAAAGGTAAGTATACCGTAGAGAACTCTATGGTTCTTCGTACGCGAAAGATATATAGTTGGTAGTTTGAAACCTTGAATGCAAGTTTAAAAGCAGGTCGATGTTCAAAATTATTCGAGAATTAAGAACCGAATTATACAATTCCATTGCCTTTAAACTTCGAAAAAGACGTACTTTCTACTTAGTGGGCAAAATAATGAATACGTTTATGTATGCTTTACCTCCAATATAATTGAATTGTTACGGGAATCGAAATTTAATAAAAAAGGCATGCCAATTAAATAGTCATTTATAACATGGTTAACGTTTTTTGCGTGGGGTCGACAGTAGGTCAGTTTTAATGCACACATCATGGCGTAATTAAATTGTCATAGGATTGTGCAGCATGACGATTAGTTTTGCAAACCTACTTTGGTAATCTTTTCGAAAAAAACGCATTTTAGAATTTAAATCGACTTTTCATGAGTTAGCCCACCTATTTTCTATGCGCCATTGAATAGACGCCATATATGGTTCATCATATAGTCTAGCGGATTGAACCATGTTCTTCACTTAGAAGGTCGCTTAAAAAACTACCTGATGCTATGCTGCATGATAAGTAATTTTTTGGCGTTAACAATCGAATAATTAGTGCGTTTTTAAAAACAACATATACATTTTGTTTAAGTATTTAATATGAAATATGCGTGTTTTTTCCACCATATGGGTACAAAGGAAACATTTGTGTGCACGCTCCCAAAACAGCACATTCGAGTGTAAAATGGCTTTTAAAAACAGCGTAGTAAATTGGTGTGGATTAGGCAGTCATTTTTGGCAGGGGGTAATGTATAAGTGATATCGAATATTTTCCAGTGTGCACAGCTTTGTACGTACTATGGAATGCAGTTTAGCGTGCCGTGATTTGGCTGTGTTTTTGTTTTTTCATCATTAAACTTCGCTATTAAAATGGTAAGCACGGAAATTACAGGCCGACAATAAAACATATTCTTGGAAATTGTGCATTTATTGAAAAACGCATGGGTATTCACTTCGGTGTTTACGTGTTCATCTTAATTCCTAAATAAACCTTGCAGTCGCATATTCACTTCCACTTGAAGAAAATTTTTAGCAAGAGGCAAATTTATAAAAGTGATAGGGAAAACACCATGCATTCGACGAAGTTATCGAACGCGTTAAACATACACAGAACAAAAGCTTTAGTCGGCCGGAGATAACGTCCTCGGTTGCAGCGTCCAAGTGGTTTTTGGTATCGTGGGCATGGTATCGACGGCGTCTTAGACGCGGTGTTGTAGAGGTTTTTAATTCCGTCAAGTAGCGTGTGTCACGTTATTGTATGGTGTTTCGGGTAGTTACTGTTCGGTCATGCAGGCATAAACACCAATGACGAATTCGGCTTAACAGAAAAAAAATCGAAAAGTAGTTCACACGTCTTGGCGGGCTATGCTGGTTGAATTCAAGTTACCTGATGATTACGAGGGTGACTCATGTTACCCTGCTCATTATGTCCACCCTTCGAATACTGATGTGTGCCACGCAAAAACTCTAATATTTTAGTTTCTTATAATTCAGGCAGTGTGCTTCTGAATTCTTCTGTTTGTATGCATCAGTGTATTTCTTTCCTAATTTAAGATGTTTAGCATTATGCATGGTCACCAACACATCCACCATAAAACCTATGGACATATCCTACTAGAAATTTCACAAGATTGAGTCAAACACAGTTCGTCTGTCAGAATTCGTGCCAGAGGATATAAAAAAGTCCCGGGTTATTAACGTCCAAGGGGCTTTTCATGAACTAATTAACTGCCATTCACACAGACTGAAAGCAATCCTGTTGCAGGATTTCATGATTTCCAATGGCGCATTTAGCGAAATGTCATTGATCGCGCACTAAATGCATACTATGATTCTCATCCAAATGCCGAAAACACAAATACTGCTCTTCTTCAAACGCGCAAACAAGCGAAAAAAACATCAGAAAAAATACATGGTCATGTCTTTTGACTTGATATTTATGCGCCGACCTTTCGACAGCTGACGAGAAGTTGCTTGTTCGTTGGGTTAATGTATTTCGCTGACCACAAGGGATTTTACTTCACGATTTAGCGCATAAGGACTTATGTTGGTGCCCTGATCATATGTGAACAACTTTCTCAAACCCTTAATGTCGCCTGACTTCCTATCCGCAGCGTATTGATAACATTTCTTTTTAGATTCACTTAAGACAAGATTTTTTGACAAAGAACGGTAAAACAAGCAATATTACCTAACGTCAATAAGCGCACTTCCATTGCCAAATGGCATTTTTTGGCTGTATTCGATGGTTGTACTCGGTTTGCATTTAAGTCTGAGATAATGGCGGAACGCGGCCGGCAAGCAGGGTCAATATCACTATGCACACTCAATCGCTGACGCGACAGCGAAAAATATCTCGGATTGTAGGGACGCGCATGGCGAAACGCATATGACAATGTAGCACTCACACTGACACAAGAGCCCTTAGTGCATCCTTACGGCAGAAACTGACAGCCTTCCTAAAACCTCCTTTTCTCCACAACTGCCAACGACCAACGAGGAGAATGGGTGTCAGAGTTGACACTGTATGGACCCATCAGGCGATATTTCCATGTGTTACCTCTGCGATTTGTACTCAAATGGTATACATCTGTTTAAGCTCCATGGCATCCTCTTCTTCAAAGTTCACACAAAGCAAATACGATGGAACGGAGAATCGTCTTGGACACGCCCAAATCCTTCAGCTCCTGAAGTTCTGTCTCAGGACGTACTTCACGTTCAACGGGGCAATCTACGAACAGGTGAAGGACACAGCAATGGGTTCGCCGATTTCGGGATTCATCGCCGAGATGGTCCTGCAACGGTTAGAGTCGCTGGTCTTCCAACACCACAAACCGAAGTTCTGGGCCCAATATGTGGATAATGCCTTCGTCGTTATCGACCGGAATCAACTGCTTACATTCAAGGAACATCTGAATGCGGTCTTTTAGGGCATACAATTTACGATGGAAGAGGAAGAGAACAATCAGCTAGCCTTCCTGAATGTCCCCGTATGTCCCAAGCAGTGGGGTGGACTAAAGACCAAAGTGTTCAGGCAAGCGACAAGTACGATGTAATTACTGAACGTAAACTGCAACCACTCAATTAGCCACAAAGGCAGTTGTTAAAGGACGCTCTATTGGCGTGTCAAAACGCACTGCAGTGAACCGGAAGACACGATTGCTGAACTAAAATACCTCCAACGGGTATTCGAATCAAATGGCTACCCGCAAAACGTCGTCGACCGGTGCGTACGCAAAAGGGACGAAAGGTTTAACCACATGGACACCAAATTTTGGCGAGCGTTTCCGTATGTCCAGAACGGTTCGGAAGCTGTCGACCACCTTCTCGCATCACTTGGGGTTGGAGGTATACACAGACCGGAGGCAACCATCAGGCGTCAGATAATGCAAGCGAGAAACCCACTGCCACGGCTAGAGACGTCTGAACTCGTTTATCAGATCTGGTGCAGTTGCGGACAAAACAACTACGTACGCGAAACCGGAAGACAGCTCCGGACGAGAATGGCCGAACACGCTGCAGCGGTGCGAAGAAATGACTACAGCTCTCAAGTTGCGGTTCATTTGACTTAATCCGGTAACACATTCAAATTCGACAAGGCCGAAATTCTCGCTAGAGGTGACAGCCGCGTGAGCCGGGAGCCGCTTTAGTCATGGTTTACTGGTCCTTAGTCCCTCAACAAGGTCAATGACCTTCACCTTTCATACTGGGTGCTGACACTTCGCCTAGGCGAAGTAATTAAGCACGTGGGGAGCGCACAAATGAACACTTTTCCCAACTCCATGGTTGGTGGGTCAGATGGTCGAGCAATCATAACACAAACATCTAACGCACGTGATGAAATTTCAGCAATTATCGACTCGAATGTCGGCCATCAAGCAATGATCACCCCACGTACAACGATCCCCGATGAAAGGGGGAGCCGATAATATTCATAGATATGCGGTTGCATGGCTACTGCGTCCTAAAAATACTGCAGCCCCTTATGCATGAGCCACCCATATCTACTGTTGTCTCTTATGATTGGTTCGATCTGTTTGGTGTGGTTCGTCTGGCTGAAAGTGCGACTTGGGCAAAATTCCACTTGCGTTGGTTGGTCCTACACTTATATATCTACCAAGATTTTCAGCATTGTAATGATCAACAGCATCATTGGAATATAAGAAATGCTTATAACGTAAGCGCTTCTTATATTTGATGTTTACGATCATCAACTTATACTGCAGTCTTATTGCTGATGCACAAATCAGAAACATTCATGCGCAAAGTCAGGTTTCACAAATAATGATCTACTGGCAGTAGTATGGTTTGCGACCTGGATTACATATTCCGCTAAGCAGTTCTAGTGATCAAAACAACTAAATATCAAAAACCTTTGCATTATCACCAACCTTGAATCTCCGTAGTGCTAGCAATTAAAATGGAACATTATTTTTATATTTAATTAGATGCCCTCTTGAAGACACTGTCAAAAACCTATTGCACGGCAGTATTTTTGCTCTGGTTCTAATCCTGATGCGTTTCAGGCGGGTCACACTTTAGGCTAAGGATTGCCAAAAGCAGGACTCCATTCTCAGATTGTTAAACAAAACGCCACTGTTCGAGTTGAAGTAGTCGGCATTTTGGACTCAGTGTATCTACGGGAATGCTCTTGTCGCCAACGTAGGGGTGAGTAACGGTTTTAAAAGACATAAACTTATATTATTTATTCGCATCCTGTCCTTAATGCTGGACAACATTTTTGTTCCCAAAGACGACGCTTTAAATGAAGAAAAATGACACGCATTCAACAGGATTAATAAATGTCCCCGCCTACATTACGAGCCCATATTCTGGCCGTGCCTTGTTTAATTAGCTTTCGTTTTGGCAAAAGGATGAAGTTGTCGAGCATTTAAAAAACCCTAGCAACGCGAAGGCCAAGCACAACCGATTGACACCGCATTGTTAAATCTTCCCTTAAATCCAGTCATTCTCCAAGAGGTTAGATTGACTATTTTCCGAAGGCTTAAATTCCATATTACATAAAGCTGCACAATTACTCGCAAACCCGAAAGGACAATCTACTAAAGCTTCACAGATGCTGATATACATCATGGCATAGAAACGGAGACAGGATAGTAATTAACCACCGGCAATAGTTGTTTACCCTTCTGCACATTCGGATACATGCAGAAGTCGGCCATCACAAGTGACTGTCGTGGGAGGTTTGACTAGTCAACAATCAGTATCGTGGGTATAGAGGTGTGCGCTCAAGTGTTCGTATGCTGGTGCGTAGGTCTATTTTAAATTACTGACGGAAAGCACTGTTTTCCATTCGATATATGACTAAGCAGGCTGATGTAGACACAGCGTTTATTTAAATTTCTGAATGCGTTAGGCGATTGACTTCACCCTCCAGTTTGCAGAGCAAAATCTGCATTAAACAACTTGTGCACATGTGTGATGCCAATTATCCGGGTTCCGTAGAAAAGTGGTCAGTCGTAATGCTTCTGTATTGAATTCATTCACGGGCACTTTGAGCGTGTAGGCGGCGTAGTGTGGCGTGACTGTTCACCAGAACACAGCGCTTATTCTCGTCATTTAATTTTTTTTGAATATATTTGGTTTGATCTCTACTAGAAGACACCGCTTTGCGATTTCATTGTCAGAAACCTGTATTGAGTACACGCACACGACTAGTGATTAGTCTCACGAAATTCTAACCGAAAGCCCGAAATAAGTTTTTTATTAGGAAGAGAGGCTTAAGTAAGCTTACAAAATTGCCCAATGTGCGCACAGTCAAAAGTTATTTCAGTCACACTGGGATACGGACCTAGGGATGCGCTTATTTCTGGCCGCATCCATAAACACTGGTCCACATCAACATGACTGCTCAATGGTGTGAATATTTTCCACAGATCATTGGTGCCCTTCGAAATGCAAATATATTTCTATGGTAAGCGTGACCAGGGACAAACCTGATTTTACCCATTTGGTAGCAAACCACGTAGTCTACAATCTTTGCACTTATAGAGAGGGGCTTTTTAGCTTTAAAAAACGTTTCTGACCATGCTATATTATATTGAAGTTTGAATTGTAGTTAACACTAATTGCAGAAGGTTTAAGTCGTATGTGGCATCTTCTTAATGACGTACGTTTTTATATTGCAAAACCAATACGCACACGCAACTGAAGAACATTCTCAAAATTATAAGAAAATTAAAGCAAAACTTTGAAACCGATACACACCATTTTTGAAGTGCTACCAACTAAGTACACTTAACACATGTTTGCGCACATGGGCACTGAAAATCGATTGAGCAAGTAAATTCTAATTAAGCAGCTATTGTTGCCAAGTGAGATTTTTGCGGGAGCCCGAAAAGGGACGCATTCAAAAGTTGACTTCCTACCGTAGTTGAGATGCCTTATAATTATTCCGTCATAATTACAAACTACTGGTGCCCAACAATATTACCTCAGGATGCCACAAATTATCCTTTGAGGCTCATCGGTATAAGCAATATGTTTCTCGGCTGCCTCGCACATAAAAGATGGGCCGTTTAAAGGTCTGCCAAGGTCAGAAGCTCAGGTCAGAGATTTCACCAACCTTAAGCAAAATAGCCAGTGTCTGAAGTGTCAAAGAGTTAGAAACTTGTATGTCGGATCTTTTTGGTCCTATGGCCAAATACCCGATTAACTGGTGTGGGGAATGAAATTTTTTCAGAATCAGGCGGTTGATCTCAGACATGCAGCGTGTCCCCTACCATATCGATCAGGTTCTGCTCAATATTTTTTCTTAGATATCTGTTGGCACAAATGTTCTATAACCAAATAATGGGGCCATTATGTAAGTGTTCTGGCTGTGAGGAAATCGGCAATTAAATTTCTTTTAGTCCTGCAGTCAATCTCATTGAAGATGCTGTATAACGAAAAAAATAACGGTCTTTTGCAAAACACGTTGCATTGTCTATTTCTACATCATCGGCATAAGTTTGCGTAACTACGATATGGTTAGTGAGAACGAGATAAGAATTTTTGGGTTACACCATGGCTAAGGCGAACAGTCAAAAGGGACGTCTGTCTCCCCGGATATGCACACAAACATTCCTTCCCCGCTACTTATTTGGTGCGGCTACCAGCGTAGTTAGATATGGTGAGATGAACTTTTACAATGCTGCGATCATGTCCTTGTTGCTTTTAAAAATTCATAATCATAAACTGCAACTTCACATCCTTCTGCTTAGATAGTAGAGCGCGCACCGCCGGCAAACTCTTTGGATGCACTATTCTTAAAGTACTTCGTTTTCTTTGGCCTTCATTTACAGAAGGTTCGCTACCTTCAATTATGTCTGAGCAGCCTTGTCTTACCAAATGTCTTATCTTACAAGCTAGCGAAGTTAGTGAAATCAACGGAAATGGAGCATGAAAGAAACATAGCCTGTGTGCTTCCACACCAGACTTCCATACCAGAATGCATTAGTACAGAGCTGTTTCAAGACATTCGATAATCAGGTCCTCCGATCACTTTAACCAGACAAAGTGATCAGCTAAAGCACTAGAGACCAGTTAGTCAAGGTTTCTACAAGAGATCGATGGCCGTTCGGTGTAGATGGCGCTCGCGAACGTAGTGAAGTGCTGACCCAAAGAAACATATCGTAGTCGCCAAATCGCAGATATCAGTACACGTTGGGGTGCCTTTTTGGCACCTGCGGCTGAACATTCAAGTACGCACAAGATTTAAGAAGAGGGGATCTTGTCATCGCTTACACCAGCCGTCGCTGGCTACACTGCCATCCTCTTGCACTGATGGGCCTTGGTTGTAGAGACAGTAGAAACGTGTACAAATACTACACTTACGTCTGGCCGCACCATTTTGCCAGATGAAGTGGGCTCTGAATTGAATAATTTGAGTTCTTCTGTAGATGCCATATTATTTGCAAAGTTGCAACCA